CCCTCCAACCAGGCCTGAGCCTCAGTCAGGGTGGAGCCCCCCATCGTCCCCCTGAAGCATTTTGCGTGGTTCTGAGGAGGGAGGTGCCGCATGGGAAGCATGGCTTAGGGGAAATGACTCAGACTTCAGGAGGGGAGGGCCCAGCAGGCGGCACACTGACCCACATGGCAGCGTCCAGGAGGTTTGGCTCGGGGACGCTGTGTGCAGGACTTCCTCCAGGAGCTCTGGCTTGGCATGCTTTCAGAAAGGTGCTGAGGGAGGCACACCTCACTCTTTCCGGAATAAATCTTGCCCTGTGTGAAGCCGGAGCTGGTGTGGGGAGAGCAGGACGCTTAGTGGGCACGGGGTGGGCTCTGAAGCTGGTGGCCTGGGTCTGAGCGCCAGCCCCGGTGTGTCTGACCTTGGGCAGTGGACTTCACCCGGCTGAGCTTTAGCGACTTTGGCTCTCAATGGGGACAACCAGGGCATCTGCCGCGGTGGGAGGTATCGAGTGAATGAGACGGCGCAGGTAGAGTATCCAACGCAGCCTGGCCTGTATATTAACACGGCGCGTGCTTCATAAATGGTGGCGTGGGAAAATAAGGCGATGCTAACAGCCATCTTAGCTGGGACCAGCTTCAAGTGGGAATGGGATAGGAGGCCCACCCCAGGGCGTGAGGGGCTAAGAAGAGGCGAAGGTGACTGAATTCACCGTCTGCAGGCCTCCCCTCCTCCGCAGGCCTCCCCTCCGGCGTTTCCTTGTTTGCCTCTTTGTATTCATAACAGTGTTGGCCATGGTTGGTGGGTAGCAGTTTTACTCCCGATTGACCCCACAACAATGCTGATTTACGCCCATTTAACAGGTGAGGAGCCTGAGGCTCTGCCCTGGCAATGATTTTCCCAAGCTGGGTTCGCTTTCGTGGAGAGCCTCCCCCCTTGCCCCCGGCTTTGGGGGGCAGTGGGCACAGCTGATGGGCTCCCGGGCCAGTGCCTCAGGCAGTGGCTGGATGTCCCCAGGGGTCAGCAAGTGCTGCTGTACGACTGACCTTGTGGCTGGCTGTGAGCGCCTGCGCAAATGCTCCCCAACCCCCAGCCCACTCCCAGGCCTCTTTCAGATTCAGCCACTCAACAAACAGTGGCCAACCCTGGCTTGCTGGCTGTGCCCTGGGACCTGGGGATGTGGTGATAAATCCCATGTGATCTGTGCCCTAGAGGGGCTGCCAGCCGGAAGGAGAGGTGGGCATGGCAGAGAGGGGGTGATTGGCAAATATAATATTGGTGGGGAAGTGTGACAGAAGTCTAGGGCAGAGGGGCAAGTTCCTAATGCTTTGGGCATGCAGGCCCCCCCACGCAGGTTTCTGGGCTGGGAATTGCTTTGTGATTTTAGAAGTTTGGACTGGCAGCCTGCTTTATAGCAGACCTGGGTCATTGAGCTCCCGCCCAACCCCTGCCTTCACGCCCAGTGTCCCCCTCCTCAGACCAGGGGCAGCCCCTCAGGGAAGGGGGAACTCCAGAGAGGACATTGGAAGGCCTTGGGGAACTTGGGTGTGATCAGTAGAATCCTGACTGTAGCCCTGACAATGCCCACCCACTGTACACCACCCGACTTGTAGCTCGTGTCCACAGCCTGTATGGAAAGTGTGTATGGGAGCCACACCGCATCTTCCAGGTTCTGAACTGTTAACCCTCTGCCCACATTTCTGCTCTGTCTTATCAGGACTTTTCTTTCCCTATCGGGAGTCCTTCCTTCTCCCCTTTTAGTTTCATCTGCTAGGATTATTTTTGCTGATAGAATCCTGGTCTTGTAACCAGAAGTCCTTTGTGAGCAGAGCTGGAAACACCTCTTCATGGACTTACAAGCCGGGAAAGGGTAGCATAAACCTCAGGCACCTCATCGGCCTCCGTGGTCTGGAAGCCCTCCCTGTGCTAAGCTGCCTTCGGGCAGTGTGCTCATGCACCGTGTCCTCTGCTCTTCAGGATGAGCTCCCACAGCTCTGGACAAGTGGAACTCGAGATTTCATTGCCCGGAGACCCAACCGGGGCAGGTTTCTGATACCGGGATCCGCCTGTCAATTTATCTCATCATTCCTTTAAAAAATGTATTCAGAACCAAAGATTGCCGAGCATCTGCACGACCAGGACTCATGCTGGGGGCCCGAGTTACCAAAATGAAAAGGGTAGGACCTCTAGCCTTGAGGCAATCACAGTCCTGCCAGGATGATTGACAAGTAGCTGGACAATTAAAATCATCCCAGGATGTGAGTGCTGGGGTAGGGGCCAGCTGTGGGCTGTGGGAGACTGAGGAATCTCCCAGTGGGTGGGCGGTGGGCGGTGGGCAGGGAAAGCTTCTAGGAGGAAGTAGCACCTGGGCTGAGCCTTGGAGGGAGCACAGGGCCAGGGGTGGGGGACGTCCGGCCGGTGGGCCGTATAAGGCCCAAGAAATCATTTGGTCTGGCCCTGCCAAGGCATTAGGAGCGAGTTAATTAAATGTTTGACCAAATATAGGAGGCTATTTTTAAGTTGATCATTTTGTTTGGCCCGAAAATAATGTTATAAATATCCAAATGGCCCTCGGCAGGAGAAAGGTTCCCCACCCCTGCATTAGGCAAAGGGGGGAAAAGACATAAGAGGCACTGTGTACAGAGGCATCAAGACAGATTGCTGGGTAGTTGTGCTGGAGCGTGGTGGGCGTGTGTGTATGTGTGTGTGCGTGCGTGTGTGCGTGCACATGTGCATGGATGCGTGATGGCGAAGCCAATGGAAAGGGCCTGGCAAGAGATGAGCTATGGGCCAGATCATGAAGGGGCCTTGTATGTTGTGCTAAGGAGCTTGGAGTTTATCCCAAAAGCCATGGAGAGCTATTGAAAGGGGTTTTAGGCCGGGGAGTGCTGTGATCAGATTTGCGCGTTAGGAGGATCACCCCGGCAGCCCTGTGGAGGTGGGTCGGAAGGGCCGAAGCTGGAGACGGGGAGATCAGTCAGGATTTCTCGGGATTTTCTCTGTGGTTTTACAAATCTGACGAGGCTGGCTGGGGTGGGCCTGGCACACACCAGCTTAGAGGGAAAATAAAGGTCTGAAATGGCTTCCCGACTCAGAGTTTAATTCCACCTTCATTTGCTGGTTACCCAGCCTGCCACCCCCACTCAGCCTAAAGGGCCCGCCGCCTGGACTCCCAGATCCCTGCCCTCCCCAGAGGCCTCAGAACTGGCAGCTATCAGCGTTCAATCAGAAAGGGTCATGCAGGTCTGGGCTCCTCCGGATCTTCGCCCCTGGAATGCCAGGCCACAGAGCCCAAACATTGTCTTTCCTCTCACACCCGGCCGCCTGTTCCCAGCGCACAGAGCAGCCATTGAGGGGCCGCTAGTCTGGCGGGAGTCCCGGCCCATGTTAGTTACGGGCAGCGGCTTAGTCACGCTCCTCGGAGCCTTTCTTCTTGGGACAAGCCTGTCCTTGTGTGAGGGCCTTCCTCCCGCAGCAGCCCAGCTCCAGGCAGCTGCAGAACCCGCTGCCCGCCCCTCACAGCACACTTCAGAGGCCCGCCAGTGGGAACCACCGCTCAGCAGGAGAGCTGATGCTGGGGATGGAGGGGTCCCTGGGAGGCTGCCCTGAGAGCCCTTCGCCTTCTCCACATCAGGCGCCCCAGCCCCTGATCGCAGGTGTGGGGCCCTGGGCTGTCCTGTTCCTTTGGCCCGTAGCCTTCAGGAAGCCTGGGGAGACTGCAAGTTCTCTCCACCCGCCCCCACCCCCACCCCCGGTGCCTGTTCCCGTGTTAAAGCTGACCAGCCTCTGCCAAGCAATTTCCAAAGCACTGCCTGCCGTCCTCGTGTGCCCCTGGGAGTTTTGCATGCTTGTGTTGAGCACCTGCTGTATACCCATGCCTTGGGCTGGGTGCGCTTGGATGTGGCTGGGCTATCTGTGGAGTTCAGAGCACAGGCTCTAAGTACAGACCAGCTGTACTGCAAACCTTGGCTCCCCCGTTGACCAGCTGTGCAACGTTGGGAAAGTTTCTTTGCCCCCTTTGGCCACGGTTCCTTCATCTGTAATTGGGGCTATTACAGGATCCACCTCACTGGATTGGTGGGGAGATGAAATGAGATCATACGTAAGGCGTTGAGCCGAGTGCCTGACGCTCAGTAGGACTCAGTACAGAGCTGCTGCTCTCCCTCTTCCCTGTCGCTGTCGTTACTGGATCCTCACTGCCGCTCAGGGGACAGTGTTGTCCCATTTTACAGGTGACGAAGCTGAGGCCTGGGGAGTGAAGTAACTCACCCGATGGCACCCAGCCGGCCGGTGCAGAGCTGAGATTTGAAGCCCGCTCTCTGCCCAGTGCCTGCAGCACAGCCAGCCCCTTTGGTAAACGGAGCAGCAGCGAGGGGCTCCTGGCCTGGAGCGGTGGGAGTGGTGGCCCCTCCTATTTCACCTACGTGGTTTTCTCTGCTTTTCCAGGTTTCTGAGCCGGGAGGTGAGGGTTGGCAGAGCTCAGGGATGGCGAAGGTCGTGACACTCGGCCAGAAGCTGCAGCCCCAGGGCCCAGTGGCCGGAGATGAGTGATGGTGCCAGCTGAGCACCTGCCGGAAGTGGGGCAGGAGGAGCAGTAGCCCCCGGAGAGCACCGGCTGCTCCAGGATGCGGCGATGATGCCTCCGGAGGCCCCGGCCTCCCTCCCGCCCGGGCGCTAGGAGCCGTGCCCAGGCTCCATCCAGGAGCCCTGCCGCCCAGGGGCATGGCCAAACCTTTCTTCCGACTCCAGAAGTTTCTCCGCAGAACACAGTTCCTGCTGTTCTTCCTCACGGCCGCCTACCTGATGACCGGCAGCCTGCTGCTGCTGCAGCGGGCCCCAGTG